CACCATCCCTGGAGGTTTTCAAGCTGAGACTGGATGTGGCACTTAGTGCCATGGCCTAGTGACCACAGTAGGGTTGGACTGGATGATCTTGGAGGTCTCTTCCAACCTGGTTGATTTATGATTCTATGATTCGAAGTGAGAAAAGAACCTCCCAGACCTGCTATTCTTCAACCCTTCCCTGTGTTGCAGGGACGACCTGTGGTGATCTGTGACAAGGAGGACATCGAGACCATCAAGAACAACAAAAGAACCATCAAGGTTCCCCACTCTGTGGACTGTCTGCAGGGGATCCTGAGTGTCATCCCTCTCCAGCTTTTGGCCTTCCACCTCGCCGTGCTGCGCGGCTACGACGTGAGTACCTCCTTGTCCTTCTGCTCTGCTCTGCAGGGTGCCAGGGGTGCTGGGTGATGCTGGAAGGCTCTGGGGCTGTGAGTGCTGGGATGAGCAGGTCTGAGGGTCAGGCAGCCCAGCTGGGGCTGAGCTGGGATGTGTCAGTTCTGGGCTGAGCACACAGGAGCTGGAGAGCTGGAGGAAGCAACAGGAAGGCAATGAATGATGCTCAGAAAGCTGCTCAGGGTCTGTTGGTGTTAGGGATTTGATCTTAATGCAGACACTGGCCTCGACCTGGTACCACAGTGATCTTTGTCAGCTGAGCTGTGACAGTGGACTGACAGGACTCACTCAGCACAGGAGTGGTGACAATCAGGGAGGGACTTTTTTTCTGTGTCCTACATGAACATGAGAATGTGCTGGGTTGTTCTCATTTTAAGCAGAACAAACCTTCCACAGACCAAGTGTGTCAGTACTCACAGCCTGTTTGTTCTCTCTCCTCCCTCTCTGCAGGTTGATTTTCCAAGAAATCTGGCCAAGTCCGTAACTGTAGAGTGAAAGATCATCTGACTCATAGGGGCAAAAGGGGAACTAAATGAAAAAAAAAAAAAAGACTTTTTTTTGGTACCAAAATAACTTGATTTTAAAGGCCCCTAGGTAAATCTTATTTTGGTAAATCATTGTTTGTGTATAAGATCACCATAATTCCATTTCAGTAGTGATTGTCCTATTGATTCCACACGCTATGTCCATAGCTTTGGGTTTTTTTTGAACTTCCACAAAAGATGTTAACTGGTTTTCTTTGAAGATTACTGAGTCTTCTAGGTGAGGGCCCCACCTGGAGCTGCTGTCGTTGTCTCTCACCCAGTGTGGCTGAGAAACCATTGAGGGATTCATTCCTGTCAGGCAGTGACAAAGGACACCAGAGTAAACACCTGGAACAGGAGCTGGTACTGGTCATATTTGTGCAGATACTTTGCCAGGGAATGAAACCCTAAACAAGCCTTTGGGGGAGAGAAATTTCTGCCTCGTGTACAAAAGGGAATTCAGCTGATCTGTCATCACCTCCTCCAGTCTGGGCACGTGGGAAATGTGCCAAGGAGATGACATTGCTCCAGAAGGATTTTACCTATGCCAAAAAACCTAGCAAGTGACAATCTTGGTGGCCAACACACCAGCACACCCTGTGCCCCTGGAGGCAGTGGCACTGGCCTGGGGGCAGGGGCTGGCCCAGGGGAAGGAGGAGATGCCAAGTGCTGCTCTGTGCTGGTCATTGTTGGTGGGTTGGGGTTTGTAACACATCCAAATCTTCATGTGCTGAGGGTTCTCCCCTGCCCTGGGGCACTGCAGACATACCTGAAGGACTGTGCAGGGTTTGCTGCTTGGGGCACACCTGAAGGACTGTGCAGGGTTTGCTGCAGGTCACTCACCAGTCTGGATGTTTAGCAGATTTCCCTGGCAGAGATGGCACTAAAGCTCCTTCCCCAAGGTTGATTTAGCCAAGTGCTTTGACAGCAAGGACTGGGGCATTTAGTTTGTGTGTGACTTGTGTCAAATTGAGCTGGTTTGAAATGGAAGGGGATGAAAAGGCTCCATAGACAGCACAGAAATAAGTAGCTTGGTGAGAGTTTCCTAACAAGCTTGCAGAGAATCAGGAGTGATGTGGAAAATATGCCTTGAGGACTTAAAACCTGACTCTTTCCAGTCATCAAAGGGCAGTTCCTGTTTATTTCCTAATGGAACAGGTGAATTTCCTACCAGTTTGGTGGGGCTTGAATTAGCTTTACACAGGCACCTTAGAAAGAAGGAAACTCTACAAGGCATGAAGTGATATTTGCCAAGTGCAGGTGAATATTCCAGGTCACTGCCTGCCCCTGGACATTGCTTTAGCAACCAGGGCAGTGCCCCAAGCAGCTGTGATCTGACTGCTCAGCCCCACATGCTCCCACAGACTCTGGAGCAGTTCACTTAAACCCACAGCAGCTATTTCACTCCTTTCAGTGTCAGCTCAAGGCTCAGTTTGATTCTGAGAGAGAAAAACTGTGCCTGGAAACAACTTCTCAGACCTTCAGTCTGCACTTTGCCTAGTCCATCCCTCAGCCCCTGAGTGATGAGCACACTGTGCTGCCAGTGTCTGGTTGAGCTCAGAGTCATCAGTGCTGCAGTTTGGTTAAATTGCTCTGTGTGTGGCACTGCCCATAGGTGCTGTGCCTCTGCCTGGATGTGGCCAGTAGCCCTCCCTGCTTTGCTGAAGGATGACAATTGTCCTTAAGGAAAAGACAAGCGTGTTCAGTGCTAACAGGTGGAAGACAGCTCCTCCTCCTCCTCCTCCTCTTCCTCCTCCTCCTCCCTCCCAGTTTGCTCAAGAGGAACTGTGCAAACCCTTTTTGTGGAGGGCTGGCTGCAGGCAGAGCTCCCTCCTGCATGGGACACAGAGTGCAAATCCACCCTGCAGAGAATTCTTTGCTGCTCTGCTGTCACCCTGCCTTGCCCAGCTGCCTGCTGTGCCAGCTCTCCCAGCAAGGGCCACAGACACTCCTGTTCCATACAAGTTGCTGTTCAGTAAAGGTTGGTTCATGCAGGCTCTTAAATCATTCTGGAAGTTGTGTACTACAAAGAGGACCAAAGAACAGGAGTCTGAGTTTGAAACGTCAGGTCTGACACTCCCACGTCGCTGTAGCTGTACAGGTAGTGCTGAGCTCTTTGGTTTTCTGCTGTGACAGACCAATCCTTGTTCCTTGTAGCTGAAGGCATTGAACTCAGGACAGATCCTTCCCTGCTGGGGGTGCAGGCAGTGCCCAGCCCCAGTGTCCTGCCAGCAAACTGCTGCAGTGTGTCAAACTCTCTCTGCCAAAACAGAGATTTTTTAGTAGCTACTTGCCCTGAGGCTGTTGGACCTTGTGGCTCAGTCTCAAAGGATGCTCTGGAGCACAGGTGTATGAAGAAATTCCCTGCTGAGCAAGGCAGGGAACCTGTTCAGCATCTCCATGTCGTTATTGCCATGCAGTGTGAAGTGAGAATGTGTAAAGGACTCTTCCTTACCTCATTTTGTCCAGGTGTGTTGCATTTCGATGAACAGATGATGTTTCTCTTTTCCTTAGGAACCTTTTAGCGTGTCTTGTGATATTTATTAACAGCCAGTCAGTCTTCTGCTCTCCCAGATGAATGTTTTGCTTACTGAGCCAGTAAAACTCCCTCCTCCTTCCTCTCTGAGGTGTTGAAGAATTCAGTCTCTAAAATTGAGCCACAGGTAAACACAGAGAAAGGCCTTTACCCTTTGGAGTAGCAGCTCCTTTTCCTGCCTCTTTTGGCCACAGTTCATTTTGCTGTCAGTAACTGTTCCTCACCTATGTCTGCAGAGGCTCAGGGGGAAGCACATGCCCACAGGTCTTAGGGGGTTTTGATTACCAAAGACCAGAGAACTTCAGCTCAGCACGTCTTGTTTCTGCCCAGTGGATCTGAGACAGATCCCACCCGTGTGGAGATTAGGTTGGACATGGAATCTACTGCTGTGAGAAAGGTTTTTCCCTCCTGGCTCTGCTGAAGGGCTGTGGACAGTTCTCCCAAAATGTCAGAGGAGTCAGCACTGTCTGTGTGTTCTTACAAAGAGCCCAAACCTGTGTGGGGGTGGCCAAGTCCTTGTGAGCTGCAGGGACATGGCAGATGCCTTCTCCTTCATGAAGTGGGGATGCTCTCCTACCAAAAAACTGCCTGGGCACCCTTCACTGGGGCAGGCTCAGCCTGTCTGCAGTGAGAGGCAAAAGCTGCACACAGCCTCTGTCCCAGCCACAGGGAAGGAGCTCAGAGAGCTGAATCGTGCTCAGTTTGGAGCCTTAAGTCCAGCCCAGACACACAGGTTTGGTTAAGCTGCAGAGAGCAACCTCTAAAATCCTTAGCAAGACCAAAATGAGTAGAGAGTTAGGCTGTTCCCCTCCCTGGCTGTCCCCAGGAGCCCCTCAGTGCCTGGTGGCCCAGGTTGGGTGGAAGTTCAGAGCCTGAGTAGCTCCTCAGTGTTTAGCTGTGGCTGATTTTAGACCCAACCTGAGTGTACCAAACTTGCCTCAAAGTGTTGGAGTCCCTGCTCTTCACCAGAAACAGGAAGAAGAAGCAACAAAGAAGTGTTTGGGTTGAACAAAAAGGAAAGACAACTCTTTGCCTTCAATTCAGTCTCTGTAAATAGCCATTTGAGTGGCAAATAGCACATTTTTCCTCCTGTGTCCATCTCTGCCTCTGCTGTACATATCCAGCTGGCTTGGGTTGTGGGGACCAGACTGTACCGTGTTTCCTGTCGTGTGCTGTATGCAGAAATGTCTTACTTTGGTCTGTAGTGTTTTATAATTTGGGTTTTTGTCTTTTGGCTTACTTCTTTTGTATCTCACCCTTTGAATAAAATCAAGTGCCCTACATGAACCAAATGGAATTGCTGGTCTTTAGTTAAACCACCCAGAGCAGGTGTAGCCCCAGTGGCAGTTCAGGCAGAGGAGCCTCAGGGCTCAGCTTGGCCTTCTCCTGACCAGCCAAGGCTGTTTCCAGGTCACAGCTACAGTCTGTGTTCCATCTGCCCTTTCCTAACAGTGATTTTATTTTTTTTTTCACTCTACACAAAAAGCCCATGAAATGTCCCTCAGGCAGAGCAGCTTCTGTGACCTTAATTCTTACTTACTTCCCCCACGTGGGACAGGCACAATTAGCCCATACCTGACCCCTGCTCAGTGCCTGTTGCACACATTCCACAGCTCCTAAAATTTGTGGTTTCTTTCCCAAGCAAGAGCTTTGTTTGGGCCAGGCAGCTCTGTGAACCAGCCCCACGAGCAGCTGGGCTGGCACAGCTGTGCATGTTGGCATCAGACAGCAGCTGGGGGCTGAAAATGCCTCAGGATTTGGAAACCCACAGTGACAAAACAGCTGAAATTCCACCCCTCCTCCAGAGCCCTGTGTGGATTCATTTCCTCAGGAATCTTCACCTCTCCAGGGGATGCTGATGTTGCATCAAACACGATTGTTTAGTTTCCTAGACAAAGTGAGCACCTTGGACTTCTCCTCTTGGAAATCCCTGGACAAGGAGCAGCACTGAAAGGTCACGAGTCTCCTCTCCAGGGCATCCTGCCTTGGAACAGTGCACAATCCTTGGGAGCACAATGAACATCAGGAGCAAAGACTCTGCCTTGGCTTGCTCAGCTCTGCAGCAAGAACCAGCAGTTCTCTCTTGAGCTGTGGCTCACAGGGAATGGTGCAAGGCCTGGCAAGTTGGTTGGGTGCAGGATCTGCCTGAGGTGGCTCAGCCTCAGTCTGTCCAGGGCTCTGCACCACTGAGCTCTGGGATGTGTCAGCTCTGTCCCTAGTGACTCAGTCCTGGTTGCCAAAAAACCATTTCCTCAGCCCCTGGTGTGGCTAAGAGCAGTAAGACACAAAAGGCCAAGGACCTGCAGGCTCTGCATGCAGGAACTTCCATCCTGCCCAGGCTTTGTCTAACACAATCTGACACTTGCAGCTAAATAAGCCAAGTGAGACTCACAGAAGAGCCTAAGCATTTGGTTTGAATAAATTAGTCTGTTTGCTCCAAAGCACTCTTGGAGAGCAACCTGTTCTTGCCTTGTTCCCTGCACACACCCCACACTGTGTGGGACTCCAGCACAGGCAGTGCTGAGCCTCAAGCTGCTGCTGCTGCCTGTGCACAGCCAGGCAAGACCCTTTAAGGTGTCTCTGTTCAGCTCTGGTGCAAAGCAAAGCTCAACTCTGCTCCAGGGAGGCTGTGCAGGGCTGAGCCCCTGGGGGTGGTGGTTGTTACCAGCACAGAACACACC